GTGTTTTCCGGCGCTGCCCTGCGCCCCCGGGGCAGACGTTGAGCACCGGCCGTCAGCCGGCCTGGGCCAAGGTTTGCTCGTGCCGGAGAAAGCCCGCCTCGGTCACCTTTCTTCTGAGCCGCGTGGCTGGGAGGGCGCCCGCCTCACCGGCTCTGAAGCGAACGAGAAGTTTCCTCAACTAATTTCTAACTTGCGCCCCGTTATTCCATTCTCCCGTTTCTGAATCTGAAGGGGAACTTTTCACTGAAATTAAATAAACTAAATGCAAGCTAAAAAGAGCTAGGATATTTCCACCTGTTATGTACATTTTATATATTATGTGTGCGTGTGTGTATATATATAATATATATAAAAAATGAATGCTCAGTACAAAAAAGACTTTTTTCCCCCCCTGCAGCAGGTAAGTAAAAAGCTGTTAGGAAAGAAAACCTGAAGTACACCAACTGCGAAATATAATAAGTGATTTTTCCTAAACCATCCTAATGTAAATGTACGTGCTCTTACAGAAAAGAGCAGCAACTGCCATTAAGCAATACCTTTTTTACATTTAAGTTACAGGTTGATAACATTTTTACATTTGCAGAGAGAAAAGAGTGGAAAGATGGGTTAAATGGCTTTATAGAAGGTTCATCAGCTGCCACATAAGAAGTGCTAGATACCAGATTCCCTGGAAAAAATGAACCTTATTCAACTCAGATCATTTTTAAAAAACTTTGTACCTTCCTAAAATTAGCTTTATGCAAAGTAGTAATTTCATTAAGCATATTGTCAATTATCGAAACTATTGATATCAAAGCATAGAATAAAAAAGCGCATCTGTGTACATCATGAAACCTTAAGACTCACAAGAGTACTCAAGCTTTTCAATCCCTCTTTACATTTTTAATGTTTTTCTTTATTGTCTTATCTTCTTGTAGCCATATTTAGATTGTGCATGTCTTTGCAAGACAATGCAGGCAGCACGCGCCAACTAAAAAAGGCTGCTTACACAGTAGTTTCTTCCAGCACACTTCTATTGTCACGTTATATTGATTAGAAGGCTCTGCAGTGAATGGGGTCATATTATATACTGAGAACCCATTTGTATACTGCATGCCCTCCACAATCAAAATGTGCAGTAAAGGATGCAGTGTTTGACTCCCATTTTGAAATCCTCAGCGCAGAGGCAGTGGTCAAACCAAGATTCCAGAGTAAATGAAAATATACCTTAGCCCTAAGCATGGCACCAAAAATTATATATATTTATTTTCCTTTGTGATACACTGGAGGTTTGGTATTTTCTGAGCGCTCCAAAAATTACTGGGCAACATTTGTACTGACATTCCAAATCTGTAGTTTTTGCAACTGGTCTACCACTGCACTGCACCTGGTATTCCTAACTTAAGGCTGCCATGTAAAAATCCGTATTTCCATTAACAGCCTACTATGTACATTACAGTAAATGCGTTTTAGAGCCATAATGCCTTGTTAACAGCTTTAAACATAGTTGCCACTCAAATGAGCAAGACAGCGAACTGGTTTTATTACATAACCATGAATTTGTTTGCAGATGGGTTTTAGCTGGGCAAAACAGACGCCGCAAGATATAAGAGCATTAAACTGTCTAGGTTACATGCCCAACATTTTGATAAATATTTTATGTAGTGTCATCTGGCACACATTGTGTTGTATTATAATCATTATAGAAAACAGCAGTTATAACTGAGAAACTATTTTTTCCTGCTGCTTTGAACTTGGAGCAGAAAGTTAACACTAACAGCAGCATGCTGAGTTTAATACTTATCATTCAGTGAAATCCTAAACAGTTACAAGTAATTTCTGGTATCTCTCATTAGGCCCTTCTCAGAAGTTGACATCAGAAGGCCTCACTGAAGTATCGTCGTGAATCTCTGGTAAATTGGCTGATGGCAGCTTTTACTGTGAAGAGTACTTTAACTTGAAAGCCAACTGCCAAATTAATCACAGATAAAAACAGCAAACTGCTCGGTTCTATTTGTAATGCTTTGAACATTTTCTGTGAAACTGAGTTTTCTCCAGATTAAAGCCAAGAGCTATATAACTAGTAAATGGCACTCTCAGTTTTTTCAGAAAAGTTATTTTAGCATCTTTCATGTTGTAATAGGAATAACTGCAATTAAAACTTGAAATGGAGGACATCTTTTACTACAAAAAAAAAAATGGAGACTATTAATATTTTTAGAAATTGTCTTGCATATGCTTTAAAATCACATCAAGGAGAGTCTATTCTGAAGCTACAGCATTTTCTCTTGTATGAATTATGAGTGCATTAACTCCTTGGACTTAGATGTCTGGCTATACACTTAGCTGCATATCATCTGCGTATCATGTGTACTTTTGTGGTCTCTAAAACCATTACATTTGATCACTTTGTCATCATTACTTTATTTATTCTCACAGCACAGTGAAAGAGGACTATTGTCCCTATTTCAGGATTGTTAACAGAAAGAATGAATAATTACATTGGGAATCCAGAACAAAACAGAAGTCTGAAATTGAACATATACAACTCCTTGGTTTATCATCTTAATTTGCACATGCTTTTACAACTTCATGCCAAGTAAAACTATTTGGGTGAACCAAGAAGTGCATCTAAAGTAATCTTTTGTCTTTCAGTGCACAGTACAGTAAGTCATATATGAAGTAGCCTTAGAAGTTAATTTGACTTTATTTGAACAGAGTATAATCATCTAGAGAACAAGCTGACTTTTTTCCTTTAACAATGACAGATGCAAGAGACAACACAGGTATTACTGGAGAAGCATTAGTTTCATTATATCTCTTAAACTACTTAGCATAACAAAATACATTACAGTTTATTAGGACAATTTATTTGTGACTACTTGTCCTAACAAGTTCTATCATGCACTCAAATGATATAAACTATCTAGACTTTAAATTTACTAACAACTTATTATGCAAGCAATTTCAAGTAAATAGTTATCTAATTTGAAAAATCTGTCACCTTCCACAGCACCACATGAAGTTCTGGTGTTAAAATAACATATAATCCACAGCAACAGCTAAATAGTTGAAATACTTATGTAACATATTATAAACTCTTCCCACTACATACACCAAAAATAAACATACAAAGAATAGGAAGATCATTTTGATTAGCAAAGACAACTCAAACATATCGCCAAAATCATTTTTCTGTTCTTACGACTTATCCCCAAGTTACTCCCAGAAAAGGCACAGGCAGTATTTTTTTTTTTTTTTTTTTTTTTTTTTTACACAAAGCTAGAAACTACACAATAGGCCTACGCAGTCAAACACTGCTCTATTCCTAGGAAAAACAGGTAAGAAACTTGAATTAGTGTAAGGATATCCCCATAAGAGTCTAGTCAATAAAAGATCTCCAGCATCTGTTTACTGTCCTAGGTTCAAATACAGCCAAGAATCAGAAAGTAAATCTAGTTTAGAACATTACTGTACATCTTAGATCTGAGTGCCAACTACTGTACAGCATATTGGAAGTGTTACAGTTACTTGTCTATTCCAAGGCAGTAGTGAGACTCTTCTCACAATAAACTAGTAATGGCACTCAGTGGAGTCAGCACTTTCTGAATTAAACTGGTAATTATTGTTCAGAGATTATACTCTTAAAATATTTCACAATATTCTTATTTTTTGTAAATAAAACCTTTACATAAAAATGTTTTGAAATGTAGCGTAATGACACAGCTTTTCACTATGTTTCCATACATAACGGAGTACAGATTAGAAAGATATTTAAACCATACCCGGGTTAGATTATTACAGTATCTGAAAGGCTCTCCTTTACCAGCAAATAATGCAGTGTTTGGCAAAGAAATACTATTGGTAATTCTTTAAACAAAACTCCAAACGTAATTGTTTTCCCCTCTTTAATTGTTAGAAACAGAATCATTTAAGAAAAAAATTTAGTAAATACATATCCTAAACTATCTAATAATACTTCTACCAGTACACTAAGCAGATTGCCTTGCATGATTTATATACATTGATGAACCCACACTTAACTGCTCTAATGGATTGCCAGAAGACAAGTATACAAAGCATTGCTGGAGTTTACCACATTTTCTTTCAAGTGATCTCTGACAAAGTTAAAAAAAAAAAAAAAAAGTCTGTTTTGGCACTGCTGATTTTAGGACATATTCCAAGCGCTTTACATAACAACCATCATCAATGATCTAGAAATCGGCAATAGGTGCTGATATATTGCATTCATAGTATAAAAAAAACAAAAGGAGATTGAGCACTTCTTAAATACATATAAAAACAGAGCTTGAGGTATTTAACGACCCTTTATAATGGAAATTAAAACTTGTTCATTGCATGTTGACTGCAACTACTCAGGCGCAAATAAAACTCACTGTAACTTGTATAACTATAAAATTTGACTACAGTCTAAGTACAGTACAAAGACTAAAGCAATTATTCTGCACCAAGACTTATAAAATTAACAAGCAGGGGCTGCAGCCTGCACAGAACCCGTGTCAGCTCACGCCACTGTCCACACAGAGATTACCAGTGAGCATGCTATGTCTATGCAAGCTGCAGCACAGACACCTCAAGTCAGATTCTTCTTCTCAACAGTGACTCTTACAGCAATGAGATCAAAAACGGGTTTTGTTGAGACTAAGGATAATTCCTGGCCATTTCGGCAAAGGACATTTTATCAGACAAAAGTGTCTGGGATAGATTATAATAAAATACAGTAGGCATTTACTCAGTTTCTTTAAGCGGTCATATTAAATCCTGTAAACATCAGATTTCTTCTGGGGTTAAAACAAAACAAACAAAAAAAAAACCAAAAACAACCAAAAAAACCCACTCTACAGTATAGACATTATCCAGGCTCAGTCACAAAGAGTGTGTCACAATCACCATTACCAGAATTTTAAAGTTCAACAGATAAAGCCTCTCAAATAAGAACCTGTCACTCAGGTGAGATTTGAGTTACCAAAAGCAGGTTGAAAAAGGGAGCAAGATAAATTTCAGTAACTTGCGTACATCACCGTTACTAATTCTAGATTCATTTTCCTCAGAACTAGAAGTTCATCTCAAAATCATAGCATGAATTATTTTGCATTCAGCAGAGGAACAGGGACAAACTGAACAAAAAATATTCAAATTTCTAGCTTATGTACAAATACTTTGATTTCCCAAGTCGTTAACTGGTTGGTTAGTTCTGACAGACAACAGTTTAGAAAAGGGAATTAAATTCCTTAGGGAAATATCAGCAACATTAAACTAAAGAATATAAAACACTCCTTTTTCCTTTCAGGATAAAATGCAAAATAGGCAACATGGCCTAAAAACATGCCAAAACATTTAACTTTTTGTATGACGACAAGAGTACTATACAGATAGCTTAACATTTTCATGTGGCCTTTGTAAAATGTCTTTCTAACTTGTGTGAATATAGCTAGTGTGATATGGCTAATTTCTTAGAAAACACATACACTCGTGAAAGGCTATGAAGAACTGAACATGTTTGCTACAGGACATGTTCAAAACACTACTGCTTTTAAGAATATCAGCTTGACATAGCCTGTTAAGAGAATGAAATCAGCCAAAATTAAAACTAGGCATGCCAGCACACTTTAATTCTGCATCTGTGAAAACATCTCACAAAGGATTTTCAGAACTTAGGAGCCCTTTTCACTACTTTAAAAGAAAAACCCACACATACACGTAAAATTCTAACAATTATAACGTCGTACTTCTTTACCAACTAGAGTATACCTTGTTTTAATACTTGAAAGCAATCAATTGCTTCAAGGTTGTACATATCCAGGTATTACTCAGGAAATAAAGACACCCATCGCTCTTCTTCTTAATTTTATTCCATAATAAAAAATAGAGACAAAAGAAATAGCGTGTTCAAGAATTAAAGCAATTATTGTTCAGTGTAAGGAGTGGTAAACTAATTATCTGAATGATGATTAAGGACCTGGCTCATCAAGAGTACTTCTTGGTCCTCCATGGCATATTTGTAGGCTTCTACGAAACAGAAATCCGGATTATCTTTTACTGAAGCAGGTCCTATACTATCTACAGAACTCTTGATTTCATATGCTATTTATCCTTTTCTTTTTGTTCTTTTTCCTTCTTTTCACGTTCAGCTTTTGCTTCTTCCTCCTCATGTTGTTTTATCAACTGTTCCACCTCCTTTTGCTTCAAAACCCTTATTACCGTCTTTCCGTTCTCTCTTGTCAATGTTGCAATTTCAACTGAAATATATGGAACACACAGCAGCATTATGTTTTTTTCCTTTTGACAGAATGATCATCAGAAGGGTAAGATTTGTTGTTAAAACTGACAACGAAGCAGAAGGTTCTTGTCCTGACTCCGCTTAAATAAAAAAGCTTGACTGGCGAGCCAGATGGCAGCAGTTCTCTTCTGCAGCAGCATGCACAACAGGCACGTTAATACCTCTCCAGCGATTCTTTTACCAGAGACTTAGCCAGTTCTGCTACCACACCAACGTAGCCTAACTGAACCCTAAGCTGTGGTCTAGCTTCTGCAGCAGACCAAGGCAGATCATCCTCAACTAAGTCATCTGTATAGCTGTTTGCAAGCTTAAAGCTAAGAGCTGGCATCTTCAAAAGCCACTCAAGTAGCTGATTTTTACATATTATTCTAGGGACGTGCCAACACTATGTCACTTGCAGGGGCAGAGCGGGGGGAACCATACAAAATCCAGTAAGCCACATGCAGTATATAGTTATTCAGTGCATCTTTTTTTAAGCAAAGGATGTTACCTCCTCTCATACTAAAGAAATGCTTACCTTTCTCTGCAGAGAGTTTGCTGACATCCATGGTTTTGTTTAGAACCTTAATGGCTAATGCAAGTGCAGTCTTTAAGGTCATTTCTCCTTCTTTGTAGTCTTGTTTTAGCATTGACACAGCTGCCTGTAAATGTCACAGAAAATTAAAACAATTTATTTGGGAAACCAACAAGTTGCTTTTCTGTCAGATAATATCAAAGCCATTGAGATGAGTAATACCAGTGTTGCTAGTTATCTATAAATCAACAATTGAGCTCGGTTAGTACAGTGCAATTTACATATTTCTGTTTTGCTTTACTTTTGAGAGGAAAAAAAACAGAACTTACAGCACTATTATTCCCAATGCATGTAGCTTTCCACCCTCCGTAATTTCCACTAGGATCACTTTGATAGAGCTGAAATCCATAATGCTTATCCCAGCCAATGTACAGCAATGAAACACCAAAAGGACGTTTTCCTGTTGAAAAGAATACTATTAGCGGTCTAAATTTAGTAACAAGATTGGTCATGAGTGACAGTTATTCTTTGATTTCCTTTTTCAAATCCATTCTTGTGAACTAGGATTTAACACTGTTCTGCACTTCTGTTACTTGAGATAAGCACTACTGTAAGTAGTTCTAGTGTTTTTTTTCAAAGTCACGAGGAAAAAAAATCTGGCAGAGGTTTATTTCATTTAACCCTAATAACAGCTCATTTCTATCTCTACAAATGGAATTTATCATCTCAGGATTTTTATTCAAAATTTAGTTTTTAAAGTATGTAACTTAGCTTTTAAAGTATATAACTTGACAGCTTCCAAAGCAAGGTGCATTAAAAGGTCGTTCTTTCACACTACAGGTATATAAAATACCAGAAAGACCCTTTCATTAGAAATTTTTGTTGTAACACTTTTGCTATTATCAGAAAAAACATACAGTTAAGGAAGACTACTTATCATTTCTTAACATGCTGCTAGATCCACAGAAGCGTGTGTTTTTGTGTGTGCACGCCTTTTTTTTTTTTTTTTTTTTTCAGTATTACAATATTGACACACCCACACCTATAGCAGGAAGCTTTACTTTGTGATTTTGCTATTAAGATAGATGGGCCCAAAATTTTAAAGTGTTACATATCAAACTATTTTTGGCCAGTTTTTTTGAAGGCATTCACTAAATCCAAGACCATCCAAAGCAGTCTGTGCAACTGGCCTGAATCTCAGCCATCAACATCTCAGTGACTGAAAACCACCATCTTCACTAGCAAAACAGAAATTTATAACTAACCATCACTGTGTCCTCATCACTTAAATTTTCCTATTGTTTTTCTAGGTATAACATGTTACCAAAGAATTTTGCAGAACTGTGCAGAGGCTCAAATATTTCAAGTTATGTAACAGAATAATTCTTTAGAAATTCTTTAGACATTTAAAAGCGCAGTGTTTCACTGCACTTCATTACCTCCAAACTGTGTATAAGCCTGCTTGATGTCACATAGTGCTGTTACCAGTTGTTCACAAGGAATAGGCTCTTGGTATTGTAACAGATACCTAGTACGGAAAAGAAACCAATTTCCATAACTTCTTTCATTGAATTCATAATTCCAGTAAAGAACAGAAATACTACTAATAACAGCTCCATTCGATTTTTTTTAAGAATTAAAATGTAAATTCCAGAATGCCAAGCTGGTGCACACTTAAGTTGCCAGTATACTGTGATTCTAGTAAGCGGTTTGTATCTTCAGAAGAAGCTGTACTTTTACTCCAAGAAAGTGAGGGATCTAACATTCATTGTCTTCATGACAAGAGAAACAACTATGAGCTGGGTGGGAAAGAACAAGTCCCTAGCCACTGTTGCAAGACAATTCAATTACAAAACACACACCAATGTTATTTTGAAAGTCTCGATGACAAGCAGTCTTCATTTAATCATTTCACTTATCAATTTAAGAGACCAGGCTCAAATTCTTACTTTAGTATGACTAGCAAAGAGAAAAGAGATCTGTAACAACAGCTATAAAGCATAATAACCAAATTAAGATACAAAACTATAGGAAGAGACCCTTCCGCTTAAAAGCGAGACATTTTGCTGAAAAAATAAGAGCATTTAGTACCTTAGTATTATAACAGGGAGACAGACAGCAGTCAGCTCGGAGAAACAGACAGAGGTACTATGAACATCAAGAAATAGTTAAGAGCAGCTGCTTATAACTTAAACTCATGGAGTGACAAGACAGCTGTAAGTTTGTAAGAGTAACGAACCATCTTTTACACAGTCAAGCGTATACTCAACAAGAGGGAAACAAAAAAGTGGACTCTGCAGCCTTATATTCCACAAGGCTGATTACTCCTTATGGAATATAACGGTTCTACAAAAAACATTTCCACAATGGAAACCTGCTTATTTTAGAACCAGTCTTTGGCAATCCTATTTCATCCCAATGCAGGTGTTAAAGGGGTTCCTATGAAGGGGCACATTTCTAAATCAAAGCATCTCATCTCAGTTTTAACGTATTAACAATAACTATATTGAAATTTCAGCAGCGTAAAGCTTGTATGTAAGGCTTTAGTTGATGTAAAACAGATTACACTGCTTACTGTATCTGATAAATACACAGAGGAAAATAATACTGTCTACTGGATGAATGAAAACACATGGAAACTCAGAAATAAACTGTAGCCATCTAAATTGAGATTTAGCAGTGTAAAACACAGATTAACCATTCTTTCCTGCTTTCCATTTTCTTCAAAAACTCTCTAAATATATTTGCGTGTTTATTAAAATTGTTCTAATATTTCATAACATCTTCCCTGTAAGACTAGTATATAAAGCCTTATTCTATTCTCAGTATGCACAGTGTTATAATAATTATAAAATAGTAAGATTCTGCAGTTCGTCAACGAGTGTCTTGATACTTCCATTTAGCAAAAATACAAGTCCCTAAGTTTAAACCTCTTCAATCTAGCTGTTTTATTTCAAATAGCCTAACTCTACTAAGCGCATACTCATTTTAATTTAATACACAGAGCGAACTAAATCTGACCTCCCAGTCAAGTAAAACAACATGATTATCAGCAAACCTACCTCTGTGCAATCAGTCTCAGTTCATTTGTTAGAACATTGGCATCTGAAGTTATCCCGGCAACACTGCAAGCCATATCCCTGCAGTATAAGCATATAAGTTAACTGGATTGCTATCGATCTCCAAGAAATAGTCATGTCTTCATGCATTGTTTTAAGTAGAATAATTACTGTTAGGCTTTTCCGATCAAAACTAGACAGCTGCGATATAAAACAGGTTCATAAGCTCCTACCTGTAGGTTACACCACAAACATGTAACCATTTCGTAAGAGCAGACAGCAAAAGCAAGCGGGTCAGTATTTTAGTTATATGCGTGGTTCTGAGAAAAGGATTATGCCAGAGGCAAGCGAGTTCTAAATACTGACCAGATCCTGAGTATCTTCACAGAAGCCATTAGCTACACACAGAACCTAACTGGAGGCCACCCAACACAGCACATCAGATTATCAAAGAAGGCATACACTGCGTGATGGGCCTTCAGTGGAAGTTGCTGATTGACACACCACGTTCTTGTAACTAACTAATCTTGTAACTTAGTGACCTTGATTTGATTGTAAGAAAAGTAAGTGCTTTAGGTGAAAACAAGTCAAATACCTGGCTCTTAGTTTTCAGCAGAATATCCTTCCTTGTTTCATTAGCTTTTAATTTAACATCTCTTTTGCTGAATCTGAAGTTACCATAAAATATTCACTGTTCAGAAAAGATTCAAGAAAAATAACGCAGGTAATGGGCTAAAGTTCTAGGAGAGGGAACAGCTGGCCTAGGCAACCATTCCAGTGTATTGTTATTCAACCCCCTTGAAAATCAGTGCTTCCTACAGTTCTAGTTGCTTTCAAGACCAACGCAGAAGGGGAACGCTGACAGGATGAAAAGCTATTTATGTTCCACGTATATCTTACAGAAGGGCTGAAGCTCTCCTATGTGCAAGAGGACATAATCTGCAACACTGTTTGCTCTGATATCACAAATTTAACTTCTTTGAAAGGGTTAAAAACAGGGAGATGCAGCACCTCTGCCACAGTTGTGGCAAAGGAAGCAAAGGAGTGCTTCACCTCATCTATCTTACCTTCTGGCGGGGCGGGGGGGCAATTAGAAAGGGATGCTTAGTCAATACAGCATGGGATTTTTTGTGTATCTTTCAGCTCCCCTCCCACAATATTTTGTAAAACTGGGAAGTTCCAATTTAATAGTGATGCAATTACACAGCCTAGATTATTCCACCTGGAAATTTCTCTTTAAAGGATGAAAAAAAAAAAAAAAAAGTAATGCTTCCATTTTAGGAGAATTATTAAAATGAATAATGACAAATAATCACGCTTGTCAAAAACACAGAACAAAAGGAATACTAAACACTTAAAACCTGGTTCAATGATAAAAACGTGGGAACAACAACAGTATTTTATTACCAGCAACATCAGCGGACCCTGATTATCATTTCAACTTACTCATTAAGTTTGTATATTTTCTCTGAGAAAAAGACTTCATCAAGAAGCTTGTGAATGTTGCGTCTCTCTGCTGCTAGCAAAACACCATCATTTGCCAGAATTCCCAAGCAAGTACCTGCATGTCCAATTGCTTCCATGGCATATTCAACCTGATACAAGCGACCTAGGAGAGGATTTCAATTAGTAACATCAACAAAGTAATACTGAACAGGCCCAAACATACAAAGCAACTTAAACTAGTAAGAGTTTGACAGATGCTCGCTGTGCAACCCAGGATTAGTTCTTCAGTCTGTTCCTAGCTGCTAGTCAGTTTACTTGTTGAAAAGGAAAAAGGAATCAGGGAAGAAAATCCACAAATTTGATGAAGTAGTACAGGGCACAGACAGTGTGGAAAAATGCATTCCTTCTACAGAAAATAATATTTAATCTAATAATAATCTGCAAAACTCTGCTGCAGTAGAATAAGATCGGTTTTCAATCATCAAAGACAGTATTTTGTGTGTGCTCAACCCTTACCAAGAGGTAATGCAAATAACTAGTAATCATCTCAATCATCGTTCCTATTCTGCTCCAAGAGCACCATTATGCTGAGTCCCCAATAACAACCGAATTAATATCCTTGCTCACTTTAGCTCCATATAAACAAATCCATGGAGCACCACTGTTTCTTATACTACATAAACGCTACTAACAGAATATAAATTCCATATCAATTAAGGGCCTAGTCAGTATTTAAGAGAACAAGTTGTCACTTCTCCCACCTTCTAAAAAGTACTGAACGAGCGCATGCCCTACTTAAGTTTTATGCTATTCTCCAGTTTGTTGACACTTTCGACCACTACTGACAAAAGAGGAAACACATACTGGACTTGTTGAGTCCACCTCATCCACGAAACAGGAAAGAATGGCTCGGAAGCACTCATTTCAGCATACGTGTATGCACAACAAGAATAAGTGTGATTGTACCAGCAGGATACTATAAATTTTCTAGGGGGAGCACAAAAAGCAGTAACATCCCTCCACTCAGAAGATGCATGCGAAAGATTTACTTAAGTTATTTCAAAAAGGGGTGAGATGGGATCTAGGTATAACTGTATACTCACTACTGGGGCACGTTCTCATTGTTTGAATTAGTACAAACACGTTCCAAAGTCTCCACTTTGGCTCTTGGCTCCCATACAAAACACGGTGCTACTCATAGCAGGTAAGCGTGATTTATGTAACTCACATAGGGAGTGAAACAACCAACCTTCAAACAAACGGCTTGTTATTTATTTTGGGGAGTAGGCTGGAACATTTAGAGTATTTAAACGGCAGGGTTTAAAAAAATACCTTCTGGAGAAAATATAGTAGTTCTGGAGTCATATCTTCGAGACTGTAAAAAGCAACAAGCCATTAGTTATCGCCGTTCTCCGGTCAGAGGATAACGTTTTGACCCACATCACATGACAACAATCACTCAGTGACTTCAGTTTGGGGCCTACGCGGTAAGAAGGCAACGCTGTTGCCACTACGCACCTGGATTCGGCCTCAGAACAGACCTACGGCTCGCAGCGCCACCCTTCCTCCGCTCCGCCCCGCACCGGCCCGCCAGGGCCCACCCGAAACGGCCGCCTTAACGCACAG